TTGTTTTAGTTTGTTTTCTAAACATTAATTATTCTTTATTTCATAATAAAGAGATTTTGGAAATCACTTAAGGTCCGATTCGATTTCGAATTATGAAAAGTGTAGGCTGTGGCACCGAGAGCTCTGACGCTTAGTGCCCCAAATTGTTTACAAAAACGTAATGCAATAATGGCATATTGACTACTATTGTATATTTTCGGATAATATTTCAGCCGCTCCAAATCTCATTCCTATTCTTCCTTTTTCTTTCACAATTTTGCGTTTTTTTCATATTTTTCATAATTTTATACACTCACATATAGTCATATGTTTAGGCCTAGGCTAGTCTAGGCTAGACCTCGGCTATGCCTATTACTATACAGTATTATTTAAATAAACAATTTTAATAGAAAGATTAATTTAACATGGACATAGTAATTCATACTTAAACAATACATTAAATTTAAATATTAATATAATTATAACGTTATTGAATAAATAACAATAACTAAAACGTGTACGGCAGGTTTATTCATTTTTCACTAGCTCCCATCAAAAAATGGCAAAATTTTACCTCTTAGCGTTATAATTTTAAACTCAAACTTCAGAAATAGTAAGAGTAATAGTTGTACTTTATTTATTACACAAAATCCCAATTTACACAAAATTCACGTTCTATGGGCTATTCTGGCTATGGAGGCTTGTTTCTAAATACAGTGCAGTGCGAGTTTACAGCCCTTTTGTGAGCTTGGGTCACTGACATAGGTCTACGAGGAACAATTATAACGGAACTGAAATCAAAACAAAAACGGGAATTTTAACGTCTGTTCTGTGGAACGCCAAAAGGACAAAATACAATTGGCAGCAGCGCAAAACTGAGAGTCAGCAGTGCAAAACTGAGAGTCAGCAGCGCAAAACTGAGAGTCACCAGTGCAAAACTGAGAGTCACCAGTGCAAAACACAGAGTTACAGTGCAAAACACAGAGTCACGGTGCAAAACTGAGAGTCACAGTGCAAAACACAGAGTCAGCAGCGCAAAACTGAGAGTCAGCAGCGCAAAACTGAGAGTCAGCAGCGCAAAACTGAGAGTCAGCAGTGCAAAACACAGAGTAACAGTGCAAAACTGAGAGTTACAGTGCAAAACACAGAGTAACAGTGCAAAACTGAGTCACAGTGCAAAACACAGAGTCACAGTGCAAAACATTGGCAAAATGCAAAACTCCAATGGCAGTGCAACTCAAGTGGACGCCCTCTATTTTGAATTAAAGTTTCACAGCTTTTTTGGACGGTGTCAACAAGTAAAATGGATGGAATTTTGAGGTCACTTGGGCACTCCTTAGTGACCATTGACAATTTTGAAAGGGAGGTGGGTGCGTATAAGCGTTACAATTAATACAAAAATTAAGTGTTTGAAATAATTTATAAACAGTGGGCTATGGAGAAGGCTAGTACATGTGCCCGGGCTTGTCAAAAAACAAGGCCTAAGTCTAGATATATACCTAAATGCCTCGACTTCGTCGGCTTCTCAAGAAACATTGTTTTCCTAAATAAATCTCACTTAACTGTCTAAATTTTCTGCTTTTTTGTCATTTATGTTGTCTTTGTTGATCTCCAATTGGTTATCTTTTTAAAAAAATTTCTCAGGTTTGCGCTGCTGACTCAGTTTTGCACTGCTGCCAATTGTATTTTGTCCTTTTGGCATTCCATACTGTTCGACACAAATTCACGCAGTCAAAAAAACAAGGTTTGTTAGTATTGGTGTATTTAAGTAGGATATTTGTTTTCACCCATTCAAGTCATTTTGACATGTATGCTGGAGAAAGGAATGAATGGTTGATGTGTTGTGTGCGTGTGACCGTGCGTGCGCCTTCTTAACATATGCAAGAGCTTCTGCATGTGTTTTTTAAAGACATTTGTTGGATTTTCCATTTGCGGCGGGGTGCGTCCTAATCCCACTTCCCCCTTGGATAAGGGCCTGGATCCCCTCCCCAGCTTACTATTCATCTTACCGCTCGGTAATTTTCTCAGCCCAGCCCCATCCTTGTCTCTTATACACATCTAGATGTGTATAAGAGACAGGCCCTTTTGTGAGCTTGGGTTACAATTGTTTTGTATATTTTCCCTCTTATTTATTCCACTTTTATTTAATAATAATAATAATAATAATAATAATAATAATAAATATTATAAGTCGATGTGACGTCATCACTGCAACTCCAAATGTTATTTGCCTATCCCCCACAGTCCAATAATTTTTTAATTAGTTGACGCTTGGCTTAATTTTTTAGGTTCGTGTGCAAAAAAAAAATAAGAAAATTGAATTGTAATCGAAAATTACTTTTGTAAAACAAGGATAATTAGAACCTGAAGAAAGTTACTTAAAATTCAAGATTAAGTATGAACAATTAAGGAATTCCTTGAATCAATGAACCCTAATAAACTAAACAAACTGAATGTTTAATAGGAATAATCTAAACCTATTATAAAGACTCAAGGAATGAAGTTAGATGTATGCATACAGCCAGGTAGGAAGCCGTCCCTGGCCTCCTCCTACTACTAGGCCGTAAACTAGCCTAGTTATGAAATCATCGCATGATTTTTACCCGTCTGCACCGACCAAAAAGTCAGTGACTGTTCTCTCTTGAATGCTTTAAGAAATGTTTATTTCTTTGACGAATGTCTATCAAAATACTGTAGCACTACAAACAAGTTCTTCTAACACAATACAAATTAGAATAGTTATTTATTGTATCCGTACTGTACTGCTGATGTGTAGTTAACACATACCAAGGGCACAAATCAGCATACGCACATATGTACCTGTCTCTTATACACATCTGATAACCTATTAGATTCCAGGATAACCCATTAGACTCCAATTTCAATAAATGACCCTCATTTTAAAGATCACATACTCAGGTATCTGAAAATACCAACAACTTGAATTTCACTTTTTGCTACAACTTAGCCATTTTGCCACAACATGCCCCAAATAATCTAGAAATATAGGCCTATTATAGAATAATAAGCCTATGTTATATTTTCTCAATATGTTAATTTTGTAAATACAAAATACATGATCATCAGAAGTCATCTATGGGCGATTTTAACTTAATAATCTCAGCCTCAAACATGATTGATGAGACCTCAAACCACCATTTCTAAAGTGGATTATGCAAAATGTACAACACACATTACAGTGCATTAAAATAAATGCTTCAATTGAATCTTTGCGGTCTCATCTTTTCCAACAATGCGAAAAATAGATGTTGGGTAAGTACATAATTATTCTCGATTCGAATAATACTAGCTTTTGCTGCTTTCGTTTTTCTTTTGTTTTTAAATTCAATTTATTAAAAAAAAAGAAAATAAAAAATGCCAGTGATAAAGACTAAATTACATATTATGTATATTATAGCTTAAATTCAATAAAATATACAGTAGTCAAATTGATAGTAACGTATAATAAAACATCAATCATAAAATAAGATTGACAAAATAAATCCATTAATACAATAAGTAGCAAGAAACACATTAAATATATAGGCCTATAAAAAGAATCAGGAAATAATTCAAAGACACTATTAGATTTATTTATTTAAATATATCGACAGAGAACTGAAAGGAATGCTTGGACTACGACAATTGAGATTTTCCATATATTGCAGGAGCCGTTTCAATTTGTAAAAAAAGCTAGCCTTGAATTACGAGTTGTGTAACTTATTGTATACTAGTGGTGTTTTAGCTGTGAGTCTCTTCTTGAGGAGTCATGATAATAGCTAATATGACAAGGATCATAAAGATATTGGTGATGGTATTTAGGATGTAATAATATTTATAATAACAATAATAATAATGATGATGACAATAATCATAATGATAATAATAATAACGATAATGATATTAATGATGATGATAATGATTAATATGAAACTGCAACAATAGAAAAAAATATCAAGACGTCTCGTTATTTGTATACTGCTACTAATAATAATTTAAAAAAAATTGAAACAATGTAAAAATGGTCTCACCTTTGCTCTTGTGGGCTGGTTACAAGCCTGATGTTGTCATTTAGATTATACAATGATATTTTTATTTTTTAAGATGATAACAGTCAACGTCGTTTCAATTATCATGGTGGTGATCTCGGTTGTATGGTTAATTGGAAGCCTATTTTTTGTTGGAATATTCGTCGCCCTCAAAGTGGAGTGCAATGCATGCGGTCCAGATGACTACTGCGAAAACTGTGGCATTGTAAGCATTTTCAGAAGATTATATAATATCTATAGGCCTAATATCACAAGCGACTTGCATGTATAATTCAAACAATTATTTGTGAAAAAAATGTATATACAGTAGAACCTCTATTAAAGGGGACACCTTCGAGACCAAAAAGGTGTCCTTCTAATAGGGGTACCGGTATCCCCTGAATAGGGGTTGGCGTTGGCCGCAGTATAAAATATATACTTCTCGCGTTTAGTTGCTTAAAAAGTGTCCCCTTAATAGGGGTTCCCCTCTCCGTAGGACAGGCCTGGACCCCTGTCGGCCGAGACTACGTCGAAGTCGTCGGAAGAGCATAGGAAAAATAATAATTTGCCTATCCAAATAACCATATTTTGATTGGCAATCCCTAATATTGTGGCCTAAAAGTACAATTTGGACCATACTAAGCCAAAAAAACTCTCAACGTAAACCCTTCAGGGATTTTTTTTATTGCAGGATTCCGACCGAACTCTAGTCGCCCCCTTAGTTCGGACCTCTCCGTAGGACGTGTCGGACACTTGTCGGCAAATTTTGGAGCCACCTCAGAATAGGTATTGGCCGCAGTTTACTTCCCTCTTTGCCCAAGAAGAGTCAACTTAATAGGGGTTCCCAAAAGAGGGGCGTTCTACTCTATAAGAATTAATATGTATAAAATTAAAATCTAGCCTATATTGTTGAGTACATAATTAATTTTTCATAGGCCTACAATTTATTAATATTAGAATGGCGTGTCGAATGGCCGAGTGGTTAAGGTGGTATAAAGAGCTCAGAGCTATATAAATCTAACTACATTATTAGTAAACAAGATTCAATTACCTCTCAATATATATAATACTGTTGAATGACATATTCTACTATGCAGAATTTTAAATGTTTATATTTTGCAGTCTTTTGAGTATGTTATCCCCAGCGGAGTGTTTATGGTTCTATTCTCAGCCATTACTCTTGCGACGTCAATCGTGTTGATTGTTTCATCCTGTACTTGCCGCAGATCAAATATGGTAAATACAATTACAGATCATTCAAACGCTTCACAACTCATAGACACTCCCTCAAACATAACCACTCTACCCTGCACCGACATACTCCCTGTACGGTACTCACTTGATTGATGTCTGTCAGTTTTATTTGATTTTGGAAAATATAAACAATAAAAAATAATACAAATATTATAAATTATATAATAATTTCCATTATTATTATTACTATTTGAAAATGTATATGCAGCAGCAACAACAACAACAACAACAACAACAACAATAATAATAATAATAATAATAATAATAATAATAATAATAATAATAATAATAATATAATGTACGGTAATGAATATAAAAATAATAATATTTATGTAGAAAATTGGAGTCCAACTCGGTTTTATGTACACAAATAGACGTTTTTCTAAAATTTCCTTAGCAAAGAAACATGTTAAGTTGAATTGAAATCCTCGATTATTGAACCAAAAAAACGTATTGATAAAGAGAAACACCATATGCCGGTATATTAGGAAAACAAAATAACACCAAGTTTTTTTCTTCTGTACTATATGTAGCTAACACAAAAACATATTAACTGTATAATGGTTTACGTATGAACGAGGAATTTAAATAGCAAAGTAATACTGTAGTATTGGTAGAAATATTGAGTGACTCAAATGTTGTTATATGATACCGTAATTCTGAAATTTGTTTTGTTGGACATAATTCCATTTGAACGGTAATCGATTTTTCATATTTATTTTTTTCAGGATTCTGCCCCAATATAATGCTATTGTTGGGTCGTTGCTTATTCTGCTGAACCAAAAATATTAATATGCATTAAACATCAACGTGGACGTACATTAATGCACCTATTTTGTATTCATTTTTATTGAATGCATTGTAGTTTTAGATAGTTAACATTTAGAATTATCAATCAACCAAGTTTTTTTACTTTTGTAAAATATTTAATTTAAATTTGTGATTTCAAATTTACCCATCTATGAAACAATCAAACGTAAGAAGAGGCCTACAAAATCAAATACATTAAGGCCCATTGAATGTATCGGTAGTTTTATACATGCAATAGGCCTATTTCAATTTTCTTATTTCATTAGGCCTATACTTTTGTAAAATATTTAATAAAACTGTAGTTTGTACTGAAAGAATTCAGTTGGCTTTTGGTGTATAATGTAAATGTTTTACTTCAGATGCAACAGAAGCAGAATTAATTTTAATGCCAGATACTCTCTGCGTCGTACGACCGTCGTGCGACGAATTGTCAGTGGCATCATTGACTTCGGGTGACCAATCAGCATTCAATTACGTACGCTGTGAGCAAGCGTACGTTTCGCGAGCAATGATTTTGAAACACGTTTCCTGGAATTTGCATATTATTATGCAAATTCTCGCGCCTGTCTAATCCCGCAAGTCTGAACGCCCGGCAAAGTTAATAATAATAGGCCTAATAATAATTCTGGATTTATATAGCGCTTCACGTTGACACAACCTCGAAGTGCTTAACAACAGAGAAGAAGAAGAAAAAAAACCCAAAACAAATGCAAATGTACCAAAAAAATTATTATCAAATATTTGGTTTTAGTTTAGTTTAATTAAGTTCAAATGATTGGTTTGATGATTATCAATAAAAGTTATTATTACAATGCTTTGGTAATTTGAATCATTTCAAGGCCTGTTACTTTCCTATTCATCCCAAAGCCTTTCATTTTTCTTTCCCTTTTGCTTCTTGTCTTTCTTCCTTTCCCTTCAAATGTTCCTGATCTTTACTTTTCTTGTCCTTTCTTGTTTCCTTATCTTATCTTTCACATTCCTTTCTTAGATTCATTATCTTTTCTTTCATTTTCTTTCTTATAATTCGTATCTCTGTTATATTTCATTCTTATATTTCTTATCATTTCTTTTCTTTTCCTTTCTAATGTTTCCATGTCTATCTTTCCTTTCTTTTCTCTTCTCATGTTTCCATATCTTTCATTTTCCTTTTTCATCCTTAGTTTATCTTTCCTTTCCTTTTACTTTCTTATATTTCTTACCTTTCTTACAATGTACCTTCTTATGATTCCAAATTCATTTCTTTCCTTTCCTTTCTTATGTTCCTTATCATTCTTACCGTTATCTTTCTTATGTTTCCTTATCTTTTCTTTCCTTTTCCTTTCTTATGACTTCATCGTTTCTTTCCTTTTCCTTTCTTATGTTTAACTTACCTTTCATTCAAACAAAACAAAACAAGAAAGAACAATGAATTGGCAGAAAGAATTCAGAGGCAACTTTCAAAACTTTCAGTGGAGAGATGTGTTAAGTCGGGCTTAACTCAAGCCCGGCTTATCTCCAAGTCTGAACGTCGCCAAAAACGTTGCTCGCCGTTGAGTTCTTCATAAAAATGGCGTCGGCCATCGGGCGAGCAGTGAAAATTCCCCAGCTTTACACGAAAGTTAAATTTTATGAAATGGAGTAAACCCATAAACCATACAACGAGACTGAGTTGGGTATTGGGTAGTCGGTGCAGTGATTCAAAAGCCGACGTGAAATAAAACATTGACCCACTCACTTGAAAAGTGACCCGGGTCAATATTTTACTGTAAAATGTTGACTTAGAGTCTTTATTTCACTATAAAATACCCACGTCCCGTCCGTATTTTATTGTAAATTATTTACCATCCTATTCTATCTTTCATATTTCTAATTATGTTCTATAAAATATTATGCGAAATTGTCAAAAAAGAAGCATAGGCCTATTTCCCTTCTTATAAAACCAAGTCCAAAATTACATAACCCAATATGAACCATTTGTATGATATACAGAACCTTCTAAACCTGGAAGCAATCGACACACTGGGCTCGGTAAGCGTCTTCACGGTTTCAGTAAATGGCCAGGGGGACATCAAGGGGTTCAGTAAAATCATAGAGAAAATAGATTTTCTCTATGGTAAAATATACCGGGGTCTCTAACACACAAATAAATCATTTCGACCCATGTTCTGGATATTAGTGACATAGTTCATGCAATAATTAATTAAAAAAAATATCTTGAAGTTGCAAATAAACATGTCCCATATGACAAGGAAACGTGTGCGACATAAATCCTTGAATGAAGGTGATTTGTTGTCGAAAGCAAAAACTTCTAAACAAGGATCCAGTAAGCTTTGGCATGACTTAAACATACAATTGAATCAACACATTTAAAAAAAATAGTTTGGAAATTTGTACCAGGAAAAAAATTAAATATTCCAAATAAATTGCATTAAAATATAAAAAATGACGTTCAAAAAGCAGAAGAGATGTAAATGTACTTTTTGGGAACGATTGTGCGAAAATGGCAAAATGAATCGATGACTGGGTTTTTACATTGTTCTTATATGACGTCATATGGTATATAACCATGGAGTTATTATTTTTATTACTATTATCATTACATTTATTTACCCAGGTTTGCCGAAACAGTTTAAAAACTGATATACATTGGGCCCCGCATTTAAGCAAATGGTCGTAACCGGTTATATTTTCTGAATCAGTGTCTGAAAAAAATTGTAGGCCTATTTGAATATGTTTAGACAGGTCACAGTTCTCAAATCGATATGTAAATCATTCCATATGTTCGTCCCAGTTATATCACTACTATTAACTCCATAATAATAAGTTCAGTCATGCCAAACGAAAGTGCGCAATTGTTTCACACAGATTTTTCTACCAAGGGTAGGTATATGATTTCAATTATTTTGTGCATCAATGCACGTGTCGTGGTGTACACTTTGATGTATAGGTCGGTCTCTGCGGTGCTGTATGTGTGGGTCTGTTGTTGGTGTCTAACATGTCATGTGTCGAAGTGCACTGATGACGAATTACAGTATTTTGAATTGTGTGCTAGCGATGCGTGAAACGGTGAATCCACCAGCGATTCGAATCAATGTACTGTAACAGTTTTATTGACGCTAGAACGATTGCATTCATTTCATCCACTGTCGTTGTAGAAAGATGTGAAATAAAGCTAGAATCTCAACATGTGTAAAATTCACATGCCTGTCTATAACCTATAGGACCCAGGGACGTATCCAGGGGGGGAGCCGTGGGAGCCGCGGCTCCCCCCCCCCCTTTGTACACAGTGTTAACAATTTTTAAAGCTTATTCTTGAGCCAATACAAATTCTTTCCTGGGATCACTCAAAATTAATACTTCTAAACATGTAAATATGCATCAGTACAAGTTATACATAGGCATAATAGAACACATAGGCCTAAAAGCACAGCCCATTACATATTGTTACTAAGATCCGGTATCCCGAAAAACAATAGCGAAAATGTACGTATACACGTGCGTGTGTGGGACTACACAGGTAATATTTGTGTTACGTTATAAGCACGTATTCCTGGCCCTCTTGTTTGGTCAGTTATTAATTTGATTGAATCTTCTGAAAGGTCCATCCATCAAGCGCTATTAAAAATTACATTGCACAAAAAATGCATTACATAAAATAAACTCCCAGCGGGAGCGTGTGTCTGTGCCCTATACGGCCTTACTGTATTCTGTCTCTTATACACATCTCAATTTTCACTTTATCCTCTCAAACAGTCCTAAGAACGTTCAGGGGGATTCGCCCCTTGAACCCGCCGGGGTCATACGTAATTCGCATAACGGCTCCCCCCCCCCCTTTCAAAATCCTGGCTACGTCCCTGATAGGACCGGCTTCGTTTTTAACAAATAAATCATGATTGCAAATAAACCCGTTTGTTGTAACAATTGAAACACAGTGGCGTATCTAGTAGTCTTGAGGTGGGGGAGCAGATGGGGTGGAGAGCGAAAGGTGTGGGGAGTGAGGGTTGAGTGGTTATTTAGTGAGGGATGCAAAACAGGTGAAATGGGGTGGTTTTAACTAATTGAGCGTTTTTGTTTGCTTCGGACATCAGTGAAGGTGGGGAGATGACTGGAAGTGGGAGCTTTTTTTGGGGAGGGGAATGCGCATCCCCTAGATACATAGGCCTACGCCATTGTTGAAACACTCCACTCTAAAAAGGAAGAGAGAACCGGATATACCAATACCGAAATTATAATCACCAAAATGCCGACGTCATGTTCGAATCAACAGTCGAGCAGTGGCTCGAAGAGAGGGTTGGGGAAGAAGCGGAATTTTACAGATGGAAGGTCCATGAAGATAGGAAATTTTAGTCTATGGCACTTCTAAATGACCGGAATTTGTACTAAGACTGAAATTACCTTTCTCCTATTTTTTTCCAAAAAAAAAAAAAAAATTGGTGGGTGAAGGGTGGGGGGTCGGCTGGGCCCTTGAATCTGCTTATGTCGAGTATATCTATTTTGAATCGGATTCACTGGCAGATAGACACAGAAATTAACGGTCGACTATGTTCCATAAAATCCACCATGACAACCTCACTATTTTTATAGTTGAAATTGACTCTAAGAAGAGTTGGATATAGTGGTTAATGTGCTTTTCTTCTAATCTCAGGGTCCTGGGCTGGGATCGTTTAGTGTGACTGAACTTTTTCCTAACAACTATATCTTAAGACGCAATTGCTCTAAAAAGAACCCCCCAAATCAAATTGTCTGTTGATAGGCATAAGTCTACGAAGAATAATTTTAAGTACAGAACTAAATCAGAGCATAAACGGACATTTTTTGTTCGACTCATAAGTTCACCCTGTCAAAAACAGAATGGATTAATATGGTGTAATTTAGTAGGATATTTGTTTTCACGCATTCACTTGCGTCATTTTTCCGTTTCATGTGTGTGTGGAAGAAGGCATGATGGTTGGTATATTGTGTGCGTGTGAACGTGCGTGACTCAGCCCATATCATGGTTAGAGTGGTCTGGAACGTTTGTCTGCAAAGTCCCTCAGGACTCTTTCTATTTCGTATTTCGGGGTCTGTCACTGCTTCCCCTATCTCCCCGACGTTTCAAAGCAGATTTGCACACAGATGTAGATCTACGGGAGTGAGTAAACCCTTTAACTTTAGTCTTGCTTACAGAATGTCAGGCGGATGTTGTGGATCGACAAGTGCCAAAGTCGCTTCGATCATCCTGATCATTATTGGAATAATATTCATCATTGCGGCAATAGTTTTTGTGCCACTGGTTGGTGGTCCGGCAAATATCGGAGGAGCAATGGTGAGGGGTACATTGAATTTGTAAGCCTACCTCATCAAGTACACCGGTTACACACTGCACCGTCTTCTTTCGGTTGGAACGTTTAAGCCGTTAAAGAACCCAGTACACGATTCTGAAAGAGTAGGGGATTGTTTCCCGGCGACTATCCAATCACCACCAGAAGGACCCTAATGGAAATAAGTTTTGTGGGTTATCCTTGGTGTTTATACTGAATAAATTGAATCCAATTCATTTTTTTAATGCTAATTTAAAAAAAAAAGATCAAAACCCCAATAAATTAATGCCATTTATTGCAAAACTGGATTTAGAATGTTAGTACTCTTGTATTTTCATCAATGGTGGTGGCACTGGGAGTGGGGTGGGTGGTTGGAGGTGGATTAACTTGAAACATCCTATCAAATGGACGATCGCACATGTCATTTTTTAATGTTTTGTTTAATGTTCCTTTTTTGAAGTTGATAACAGAGGGCGTGCTCGGTCTCATCTTTGCCTACAATGCAGAAAATAGATGTTGGGTAAGTAAACATTCTAGAAGTAGCTTTTGTTGCTTTTGTTTTTCAATTCAATTTATTCTTTAAAAAAATCCCAAACAAATAACAATGACAAAGACTAAGTTACATAATATCAAAGATAATAAATAGCAGAAGATAGAGCAGCTTCCCAAAATAATGGAACATCCGGTCGATGTGCATTGTGGGTACACGGAGAAAAATTTTACTGCATCCGCGCGGCGGCGCTATATAGTAATAATAAAAGCGCCGCTCTGGTTCGTTTGTTTCCTGTAGTTTTCCACTTACTAAAATGTTCAAATTTTACTGCATCCGCTGGAGGGCGGATGTTCCATCAGTTTTAATGCAAATACGCGGAACAGCTCATTCTTCTGCTATTTAAGTTCTTTGATAATATGTATATAATAGATGATATAATATATAGTCAAATTGATCGTAGAGTGTATAATAAAACCACAATCATTAAACAAAAGATTGATAAAATAAATTATTTAACACAGTATAATATGAAGAATCAAAAGGTCCACTGATTAATCTCAGATAAGATAATATAATACATATGCTAAGTATTGACATGCACACCATCGTGTGCATGTGCCACCGTACTCTAAGTATTGATATGCACACCATCATGTGCATGTGCCACCGTACTCTAAATATTGATGCACGCCATCGTGTTCATGTGCCACCATACTCTAATTACTGACATGCACACCATCGTGTGCATGTGCCACCATACTCTAAATATTGATGCACGCCATCATGTGCATGTGCCACCGTACTCTAAGTATTGACATGCACACCATCGTTTGCATGTGCCACCATACACTAAATATTGATGCACGCCATCGTGTGCATGTGCCACCATACTCTAAGTATTGACATGCACACCATCGTGTGCATGTGCCACCATACTCTAAGTATTGACATGCACACCATCGTGTGCATGTGCCACCATACTCTACGTATTGACATGCACACCATCTTGTGCATGTGCCACCATACTCTAAGTATTGACATGCACACCATCGTGTGCATGTGCCACCATACTCTAAGTATTGACATGCACACCATCGTGTGCATGTGCCACCATACTCTAAGTATTGACATGCACACCATCATGTGCATGTGCCACCATACTCTAAGTATTGACATGCACACCATCATGTGCATGTGCCACCATACTCCAAGTACAGTATTGACATGCACACCATCATGTGCATGTGCCACCGTACTCCAAGTATTGACATGCACACCATCGTGTGCATGTGCCACCGTACTCCAAGTATTGACATGCACACCGTCGTGTGCATGTGCCACCATACTCTAAGTATTGACATGCACACCATCATGTGCATGTGCCACCGTACTCTAAGTATTGACATGCACACCATCGTGTGCATGTGCCACCATACTCCAAGTATTGACATGCACA